GTGCCAGGCCTCTCTCTGATGTGTGCTCGGTATCCCAAGAACCGACTTATAGGCTGCTGCTGGGTGATTTCAGTCACTGTGACACAGACACCTGTTAGCATATGGTATGATGCTGGGTTAACTGTGACACTGAGTAGCGTGGAAAGGTCCCAGTGTGGTTTGCCAGCCCCGGGGCTGACTTCTTTCCGAGCACAACATCTTAGAAATGCTGCTCTTTTTTCTTGGTGATCTGAGGTGTATGAATTTGCAAGATCATTTCACATAGAGTACAATTCTGTATGATACCTAGCTAGCTGTTCTTTCACTCCTAGAAGCAAAATCCAATCATTTCATTCAAGACAGTATTATCACATCCTTATTCTGGAAAAATCACTTCAATTCAGTAAAAGTTCTTTCCCAGTTTTGAAAAACTTGCTAAATGTTCAAAGACTGTGTGGTGATATTTTTAAAAGATGAAGCATTACATGTTAGAGGTGTGTTGATTCATACGTCAAGCTAACACAATCTGTTGGATATTCAACATTATAATCATATTTAAATTCTCCTTCTAATCGCCTCCGGGAAATCCTTAATTTAAAGACTTTCTTGTCCCAAATGGAGTCCTGTTGCTTTTTATATAGTTCATAGTGTTTTGAGTTTTAATATTTATTGTAATTCTCTTTCTAATTTCATCCTTAACTGAATCAGCTTTGCTCCACTGATTTATTTGTTTTTGAATGAGAAGTAACGAACATAACAATGTTGAAAGATGAATAATGTTAACTGAAATTATAAGCGCATGAAGCACAAAAATATTTTGATCTAAGTAAGTAGCACTCTGTTGACTAAAAGTTAGCTTGGGACAGCTAAGCAGCAGAGTCCTTGAATGCATCGCAGTTTTTACAAATGCTACAGGTTTATATTTTAAGAATCATGCTAAAAAATTAATGGGATATCAGAGAAAGCCATATTGATCTGATTTTTTTTTCAAGTTAATAAGTGGATGTGAACAAACTCTCTTTCTCAAGGTTTCTTCCTGTGAAGCCACAGAGCCAGGGAAACCAGCTGGGCTGTGCAGGTCAATGCTTCCAGCACTTTCAAAACCTTTTATACCCAGAACATTCATCTTAGAGAACTATCTGTGAACTTTTGTTAGGATTTTTCAGGTGTTAAAGGGGTCTCAGCCAGGCAGGGAAGGTTTTCTTTTCCTAAAACCAAGAACACTGATTTTCTGACCTGAATAAAATTCTGTCTGCAGCTGAAGGCAGGTCAAGTCCTCTGATCTTCTGGGTGAACCTGGTGGATTTTTTTGGAATAGTCCAGAGTCTACTCAATGCACCCCCCTAGAGAACCTCCAGTCAGGGTCAACAGACCCTTTACCACATTCTGAAATGCCCACCTGTCTTAGACAACTAAACTAAAGGAAATGGAGAAGAAAAGTCCTCACGCTGGGTTCTGTCACTTCATCCTATGTTTTCATTTCTCTCTTTGTATCTAATCTTAGCTTTCCTCAGAGGGTGTTTTCCCTTTTCTCTCTCTCCTGACACAGTATGTGTTCTCTCCTTCAATGCCTGTGGTTACATTCCACATTTTTACTAAAATGACCCCACTGGACCTCATCAATGACTTACAATCACCACCTCCGACAGCTTCTCTGTAATCCTCATTCTTCTTTCTCCAGCAACACGTTGCTATTCTTGCTTACCTTCTCTGAGTGACACTTTCCCCCTTCTTGCTCAGAGTACTAGACAGCCCACTCTTAAGGTGTCAATAAGTGGTAGTTTTCCCATAGACCCATGTGACAACATCCTTTCTATTTTTGAGGAAAAGGATCCAAACATGTAAGTCATTATCACAGCAACTACAGAGAGATGGAAGATGAAGAGTGACAGACACCCTCTCACTTAAAGGGGATGCAGTTCCTCTGCTCCTTCCCCAAGTCTGGGGCTCCAAAATCATGAGCAGTTGTGCAAGTGAGTGACTGAAGAGCTTTCATTTTATTTAGGTTGTTTGATTTTGGTAACCCCTAACTGAAGTGGCTTAAGGCTTTAGGTGGGCAAAAAGGGACTTTGAAACATTTTTGAGATCTTCAGAGCCAATGGGAAGAGGAGAGCGAGAAGAAAAGCAGACTCATAACAGCCTCCCTGGAGTCTCCCCAGCGGAACAAAGAGACCAGTTAACATCCAAGGAGGGCTGAGGAGAGGCGCTCATATGATCTGTGGTGCCAGAGTCAGGCAGAGAACAACTGTCTGAGAGACACATCAATTACACAAAGGAATTGTGGCGAGAAAACAGACAACACCCGCCTGCTGACAGGTTAACCAGCTGGCTCCCCCCTCTTCTATCCGACACCAATTCAGGCGCGTATTTCTTGTTTCAGGTGATGATGATTCAGCGAAGATTCATAGGAAAGGGGCTGCCCAAGCTATGATGACTGTACTTCGCTTTCTTCTCTGTGAGGGGCACTTCCCAGTTCTAGACTCCATACATTCTCTGAGAGAGAGAGAGAGAGACAAGAGAGACCTCTACCTCACTCTACCAAGCCTTCTACAAAGTGGCCTTTCTGAAGATGCAAGGAAGATGGGTTTGTAGGGCAACAATACTTAAATCTGATTAAGTGTCTCACCTTGATTAAATACTGAATATTTATTCAAAGTGACAATGGAATTTTAAACAGGTCAGTCAACAGACCAACAAACTACTAAACATATTGAAAGGAAGTGAGGTCCTGTTGGTTAGAAATGTAGATGCTACAGCTCCTTCCGTTACTTAACCCCTCGGGACTAAACGTCCAGGAAAGCTGAGAGCAGTTATTAGGATAAAATGAGCCCTGGGTGTAGCTTGCTGAATTGAGACTACCAGTGACCTACTAAATATATCACGGAATCAGAGAATATCTGGGAGTGAATAAGCATTTTAGGTGGTTAAAGTTTCTGTATAAAAAGAGTAATAAGTTATTTGATTAGGAATATATGTGCAATATACAAATGTACACATATATATCAGCTAAAATAGATTTGTTCATTAAATCCTGGTATCACAGAGGTAGGAAACATTTCCTTAATGTTTAAAAAAGCTTTTGGGGGATGCTCTGATGGGACTGATTTTTTTTTTCCACTTTGGCAAAAAGCCTAATCTCTTTTCATTCACATTCTTAATAAAGCTTTACAGTTTGCTCCACAACTGCAGTACAGCCACATAGTGCTTTGGGTGGTAACGTTTCTGCATTAGGGTAATCCCACAGATGGCAGCATAGTCGTACCGATCGGGTTTGGATTTTTGTTACAAAGAACACCTGCAGTCATACTGAGTGTCTATTCTTGCCAGATCTATGATAGCGTTGTCTCAAAAATAAGTTGAAAAAATAGGAAATAAAATATCAGGAAAATGACAGTAAGTTTTAACTGTCAATTAATGAAATAATTCTTTTGATTTAAAAATCCATCCTAGATCCAAGGAGTGAAATAAGTTTACAAATTTGAAAAGCTCGCGGCTCCATTTAATTAGCAGCATCTATGGTGTACGCAGCCAGGCTCACACTGTCCCTGCGCTGTTTTGCTGATTTCCTTCTGAAGAGTCAGTCACTTGATTATCATTCTGTATCTCCTTGTTCAGTTAACACTTCAACAATTACTCATACATATTTCATTTTTACGTGACATGAGCGTTTTATGTTTAATACTGAAGTAGAAATCCAGAACTTTGCAAACAACTTTGCCTATACATTGAGGAAGGGTGTTATATTATGGATCAATCAGTTACATGGATCAGACTCATCTGGAAGGATTATTCAAACACAGAGTGCAGGTGAGCTCAGTGGGTCTCAGAGAGGCCTGAGAATGTGCATTGCTCATGGAATCCCCCCCCCACACACACACCAGGTGGGTGCATTTTGAAAAGACTTATGTAAACAGAAATTGTTTATAAAAATTCTGAGAATTATTTCCAAATTATAAATAACTGGTCAAAAATATACCCACTGACATCCAAGTTATAATACATTCTTTGTTATTAATTACCTATGCAAATTATTTTGTTTATGTTATTAATTTTCCAAGTAATTAACAAATTTGAGAATTTTCAAGTATGCTGACTGCCAAAGTATTTCCCTGTGCTTAATTTCATTTGGCATAAAACTAATACTTTATATGAAACGACATAATAAAAATGGCAGGAAACTTTTCTATTTCTTCCCACATGCACTAACATATGCCATCAGAATATTCTATGCAAAACCCACTGGGTTATGAAAATAGCTAGTGCTCTGCCACTTGACATTTAAAACTAAGTACAAAATATAAATCAGCGGTTGGATATCAGGAAGACCTTCAATACAGTTTTTGGCCAAAATAAATTAAAATATTCCCTACTTTATTAAAACCTAGCTTCTTATCACTGTGAATATCTTGCTATGTCTACTTACACTGCATATAGATAAACACCAAATACATTTTTGAAGTTCTGGCTTTGGATTGCTCAATAGTTAGCACTTAATTTTGAGGGGAAAATGACTGCAGGATTGAGTAATTAAAAAATGCATAAGCACATTCCTTTAGGGTCAGCTGCCTTAACATTTCACGTAACTACAGCAATAAGCACAATCAATTCATTGGTTCTTTAGCTGATACCACTTACAAGTCCTGTCATCTGAGTTCTGATTTCCTTCTTGTAAACACGTTATATTTGCTGTACCTTAGAAAGACAAAACTAAATTTTTATTAACATCATTCATGTGGCTAAAATTATGCAAAATTATGAATGGACTTAGCTGAGATTTCTAATGATTAAGTTCCTTATTTTTAATTTTGGGCATTTTCCTGTGGCACTGAAATCAACGCCCTCCCAGAGCAGCAGGGCATGCTCAAGTGTGCAATCAAGGCTGCGGGCAATCAGCCATCTGGCTGGGCACCTCGGACTCTCTCATACCCCCGCCCAGGCTTCTTTCTCCCACTGACCTCTGTGGCTCACTTAAGACTTACAATCAAGAGGTTATTATTGCTTTCTCTAATTTGTGGACTTACAATCAGGAGGCATCTTTTCCATAAATGCCGTGCAATATTCTTTTAGAAGTTCAAAATTTTCCTGATTAATACTTTCTTGCAAAGAGACATCTCCAAACCTAAAAGAAAAAAGAAAATGATAGATTCCAAAACAATACCTGAAACTACATGATTTACCCCTTCCTTTTAAATAGATGGCAACAGTTTCCTACAGAAGATCTCCCCTCTTTTTCAAAGGAATGCGGAATAATGGTGATTTAAACACACATATGCTGATTCTACCAATCCCACTTGCAAAAAAAAAAAAATATATTCTTGCAGTGATCAGATGTGAACTTGTATAAAATATCAAATCTCTAACACCAGCTCTTGCGCCTATACAAAACTGATCATTAATGTCTGTTTTCTCAGCTCTGCAAACCTTTTATTCCTAGATACAAATTAATACTTAAGAGTAGACAAAGGTAGTGGTATGATTTGGCTGTGGGTAAAAATGTAGCAAAATGGTACACCTGAATTACACAGCATAACTCATGCACAGATCCACCTGTGAAAGCTCAAAAATCAGGATGAGAAAATAAAAGGTATTGAAGAAAGAGAAGATGTGAGTTGTTCAAATCAAATTGGTTGATGTCAGGGGTCGAGTCAAGTCCAGTCTGCCTGCTTCTCATGTAAATTTTTTTTCCCTTCTGCTTTGTCATTTTTCTCCCTTTCAACTCTTACATATGTCTTACACATCTTCAGGTATGAAAAAAAAATACATCCATTAATATGGGAGAGAGAAGAAAGAAGGGAAATGAAGTGACTGACAGCTAAAATAGTTGTCAATTGCATGAATGATGCAAATTAACCTAATCTAACATTCTTGAGAAAGCGGTGCCAGCTTGCCCTTGAAAGGTCTGTAAGAGGAAGGCTCATATCTCTTCCAAGACCACACTCCAGGCCTTCATTAGTTAATTCACATGCGAACCCTGCATGCTAGTAGACCAAGAGGAGACAAGTTAGGATGCTGTTTCCCCAGATTTAATTTATGCTCATAAATATGATTCACCTCCACCACTGAACCTGCTATGAGACTAAAACATGTAGATAAAATATAATCGATCTTAAATACTGATTTGCGAAAATGCTTAATTATTGAAGAAAGCTTCTTGTGCAACTGAGTGAATAAAATTATAGTCTGATGTGCACACTATAAGAAAAGAGATGACTAGCTTCCACAGATTGAAATTAAATTTGTAAAGCTGTCATCTACTTGTGTAGTTAGTGAGTGAGAATGATGAAAATCCATGCTGTTTGGGAGATATCTTTTGGCTAAAAGGGAGACAGGGAGAAATCATTAGAAAGTAGATCAAAACAGGCTCCCAGACCATCACTGAAATACAAATCACTGTAAGTATAACTGTATTTTTAGTTTAGTAAAAGACATTGATAAACACCTGTAACAAGTTCTGGAAGACAATAGATTGTTATCATGGATGATGTTTGGAAAGTGAAATATTGATAGTAAAACATTTTCAATAAAAAAGTCTATCAAAATTTTACCTGTGGGAGAACTACTTCTGCCAGATTTTATAGCAAAATGGCGACTTCATTCTCTAAACCTTTTAAAAATTCATGGAGCGAACTGAACTTTTTTCCATGTTGAGAACAAAATGTAAGATGCAAAAACAAAAATAACTTTTATAAGCACCTCTGTCTGCTAACTGGGTGTTGTGATAGGGGCTCAGGGTCACATGCAGTCATCTGCTTGAGCAAATTAGGAAAAGATGCACAAACATCCCCAATAATGACTATTTTAATAAATAAAAAAGGGGAAAACAGACTATGCTTTAGGTCCAGAAAATATTCTCACAATTAGCTGCAGTTACAATATTGGCATACATATAACAATTCCAACATATATCCAACATATGTCAAATATATGGGTATGTGGAAAAACTGGTAATATTCCACAACATTAAAATGTGGAAATTTTATTACCAGCATCCGAATTTTTCTCATTGTCTTGCCACGTTTAAATTTGATTTGGGCTAAATGTCCTTAAACGTGTGTCTCCTCTTTCTAAATCAAATACTTTGGGACTGATGAGTAAGAAGCCATTACCCAGGAATCCAGACAGGTAGTTCTTGCTGTAACTTGTAGGGCGGCTGAGCAAATGTGTAACAGTTACAAAGAAACCTGGAGTATCAACCTTATGCCTGAAGCTCACCTCTCAGCCAGAGTTTGCTGTTCGTTGATTCCAACATTAAAAAGTACCGGGTGCACATGAAGCAACTGTCCTTCTTTAATCTGCAAAGGCAGTGACTCGAACATCCTCGCTGGAAGCTTGACTTCTACCACGTAATGTTCACTGGAGAGAGTCGAGGACAGAAAGAAGCAGCATTGGTTACTTTTCTTACTTTGATTATTTTAGATTCTTTGGGATGAAGTGAAAAAGCAGCTGGGATAGAATATTGCGTGAAGTTTTGCATTGCTGTCTGCTTGGTTATTAATTCATTCAATAATTATTTCATTTATTCACTACTACCTGTCCTGGCTGAGACAATCATTCACAGGTTGGATGATCTCTCCATGCATGTGCGATCCCGCAGGAACAGGAGAACAGTGGGTTTGTTTTGCATACCAGGCTCATGGGCACAGAGAGACTCCCTGTTTGCTCATTTTATACTCTTAGCCATGTGATAGCTTAAACTCTTATACCTAGGGTGTACTATGAGTTCATTTTTGTGTATGGTGTAAATGATGGCTTTAAGTTATTTTTGCTTATGAATAACCAGTTGTCAGAGAATCATTTTTTAAAAGAGATTCTTCATTCTTCATTGAATTGTGTTGGCACATTTGTTGAAAATCAAGTGACACTAAAGGTATCACTAAGATGCAGCTTCTGTTCCACTCATACCTACCTACTTACCTACCTATCCTAGGTAAGCACTAATGTTGGTACTAACTACTATGGTTCCATAGTAAGTTTTGAAATCATCTCTTATAAGTCCTTCAATTGGTTCTTTTATAAATTTGTTTTGTGTATCCTGGGGTTTTGCATTTCCATGACTTTAGGTTTAGCTGCCAATTTTTATAAAAGGATTACTGGGATTTACATAGCAATTTCCATGGATCTATACATAATTCGTGAAGAACTGTCATCTCAACATTAAATTTTCTGATCTGTGAACATGGACTTGATGGATTTTATTAACTGTTCTAAGTAATATGTTGTATTTTCTGTGTACAATTATCTTTGTTAAATTTACTCCAAGGAAATTATTCCTTTTGATGCTACTGTGAGTGACAATGATGGCTCTTCTGACAACTTTTTTTGCTCTCCGGTCCAAATTCAGGCAGACCTCTCTGCTAGTGAGACTGCAGGTTCTCAAGACCTGTAGCCCTAATGAAACTATGTGGAGCTGAGGTTGATGGGAGTCAGGCAAAAGCTGCTGACTCCGACTATCTTCTCATGGCTCGCCCGTTTCTCAGGAGTATATCCTTCTAATATGTATGGTCATGATTTATTCCTCCCGTCCTACTGGCTGTTTTAGATAGATCTGTCCTGTTGGAGACAGGGCTAAGCTAAGGCTCACATCTTCTTCCTGGAAGCCCCACTCGCTTCTGTATAACTTTCAAATTCAGAGGTAGTGTCAGGAGCTTCGCAGAAAAAGCATCCTGTACTCTGGCTCCATCAAAGGGCCTGGTAAGCTTCCCTTATAATTGTGACCAAGAATCTGCACCTCACTTATGATAAAAAATGATCACATAATATGTATTTTGGCAATTTTATTTCTCTTTCGTCCAGTGAATGGCAAAGCAAGCATTAGTTTGCAGATGAAATATTTTTATAGGGTGTGTTTTTCTTTATGTATAAGAAACAGCCACCTTTGATTCAAGCATGTGTCTCTAGGCACATTTAGTATCATTTAGTGATTAGGCTTATGTGTTTACTATATATAAGAAGAAAACAAGTTATTTGATACTTCTCTACTCTGCAGCATGCAAAGGACTCTTTGTTACATTCACATTTTTTTTTTCAATGTAATCTGTGGGTATTTAAAATGTCAAATTGCCTCATGTAGTTTTCCACTACATGTAATGAAGATTACATGAGGCAATTTAAGTGTTTACACCAGTTTCATTAAAATTTGGAGGACTTGGGATTGAAATGGTTTATTCTGGGCTATCATCTTTGGTTGGAGGTCTATGCTCAACGCCATCACTTTTCTTGATTATTTGTGATAATTCAGCCATCATACCCTGACCTTCGAAACTACTATTTAAAAGCATTCTTGGAAATCTTAGTCTGGGAGTAAATTGTCACAAATAATTAAGAAAAACAGGGGTGCATGCCCCTGACATAGAAATACATCTTTTCTAAAATGTTGCTGCTTTTAACAGAGTTTAATATAAAGTCATCTCAAGAATTATGATGCTATTTACCAAATGATCCCAGGAAAAGTAAAAACATCCAGAGCTTTACTGGATAGTAATGAAGAGAAGGATGTGCTTCCCAGGCCTGCTATTACTTTGAGCACCTCCTATTACATGGAGGAGCTCGGTCATACTCCACGACTGACAAAAATTCATGAGGCTTCAAGGGATTTTTTATGGTCATCCCATCATGTCACCTCCACTTTTCTTCACCAAAAAGAAAACAAGGAAAAGATGCTAAACCAAATCTTAATTCTCCTTGGTTCTTTCGCCAGGAGTTGACACAAATACCTAACTGAGCTTGATACTTAGGAGACCAGGCACTTACCGCCGTCCTGTTATCACGGGTAAGATATCATTGGATTTGGCTTCAATTATTTTAAAAGTTACTTTCTTCAAGTCAGAAATGCCAACAGCCATGTCCTCCAGCATCCCGATCTCATCACCTAAAAATGGACATGAGTGTAGTTACACAGCTGGAAGAAATGCCACTACAGCATTCCCCCACTGGAATTTATTCTAGCATTTTCTGAATGAGTTTCTGAACCCAGTGAATCCATTTTGAATGTTTTTTCCTCAGAAGCTGAATCAGGTTTTCACAGTGGAACAAGGACTATTTCAATGGACACCTGCCTCTGTCTCTGTGAGGAAGGCAGAAAGCCCTACGTGTGCTGGGAGAGAGAGAAAGCCTAACTCCTTTATGAAACTAAGCATCGAGATTTTCTTACATTAGCAGGGATGACATTAGATTTCTAGAATTAACAGATGACTCAACTGAAGCTCCCTGACCCAGGCTCATGCTTGTTTTCCTTCTCAATATGCTGGCAAAGCCTAAGAATGAGTAAGAGAAAGAAATCTGTAACATTCTAGAGAAATATAATATGAGCCGTATATACAGTTGTCAATTTTCTGGGAGTTATATTTTTAGCAGTAAAATTTAAAAAGGTGAAATTAATGACCATAATTTATTTGACTTCACAACACATCTAAAATATTTCAGTTACATGTCACTATCAGTCATGGTATTGAATCACTAATTTAAAACTGCGTGTTAACTAGTCTTTGAAGCCCGACACACACGCTGACCAGGCGTGGACACTTCGAGTGCTCAGGAGTCACATCTGGCTCTGTGCTGAGGAACACATTCCAGGCATCCACCGGTCAGGACTTGACAAATCCAGTCATTGCAACTATTTGGGGAAGAGTCTCTTGGATCAAGAAAAACCAGACAGTTGCTAAGGACGCACAATGAAATCATCTATAATTCCATTTTGAAAACACAGTTGAGGGGGAGTGAAAGTTCAGTGACAGGTGAGGGCTGCAGAGAGCTGCAAGTCGCATGACCTCTGGAAGCTCGCTGCAGCAGCGGCCAGTCTCACTCATGTGTTCGGGCCACGCAGCCCTGTGCGCCCACCAGAGTGTGAGCCCCTGGGGTACTCACTGTATGTGCTGAGCAGGCCTTCGTACTGCACGATCAGCCCCACCGTGCGAAGCTGCTGCAGGAAATTGGGATCATGCAGACTTGTGTGTATTTTGATGATGAAGCCACACACCAATCCAGCAAGCTTAAAAAAAAGAAGAAGAAATTTACCCAGGTCAGCAATGTGATCAGTTCGTTTTTTAAAAAGATCTATTTTATTTATTTATATATACAGAGCTGGGGTGCAGGCTAGAGGTGTGAGGGCAAGGGGGGTGGGTAAGAGGATTCAGCAGAGACAGAGCAGGGAGAAGAACAGGCAGAGCTACTGAAATATGCCGCTGAGGGGAACAGCGGGGGAGACAGGAGAGATCTGCTGTGCCCTGTGGGTCACTCGCTGGCCGGGGATCGAACTCAGATTGCAGTGACTGGTGATAGCTTCATAGTGCTGAGACTTTAAGCCCTGTGCTGCCAAAGGAGCCTCCCTCTTCCCTCCATAAACACTTTTCAAATGGTGCTTGGCCTCATTTTTAGGAATAAGAACTGGGAAGCAGAACAGGAAGAAGCTCAAGCTGCCAGAAGAGAGCTCTGCTGGCCGGGAGAGCTCCTGCCGAGGCTCCTACCGCCTGGCTGAAGACGACGTCTCTGCGCAGCGTCAGCGTCAGGCACTGTGGCAGGCTGCAGGCCAGCTCCTGAAGGAGCACGAAGGTCAGAGACTGCTTGGCCCGGCTCACCACCTCTCCCATGCAGTCCTTCAGGGCGAGGATAAGCGGGTGCAACTGCTCGTACCAGTCTTCTGCAAAAGGGGAGAAGAGGGTGGGCTCGAGGAAGGGTGTGGGAGCCAGGCCCCATGGACTGCTTTTTCAGGTCCGGCACGGATGAAGAAGGATTCAGCCTGAAGTTGTCTGATCAAGTCTCTCCTCTGAACTCCTAAGGTCCACACAGCTGTCCACGGCCTTCTGGGCGTGGTGTACTTAGGGAGAGAACTCTCCCTCTGCACATGTCTAACTCGTGCACGGAGTGTGTCTTAGGGGGTGGTGACACCAAGCTCTTCTCATGCCAGAAAAGGAGTGTCCCCGATTCCCCTGTTCTCACTGGAGCAGTGCACTTCCCCTCGCACACCTCCCCCACCCCCCAACACCATTGGCTTCTACGTGCTCTTCCTCCAGCCCTGCCCTCTCTCAAATTTTTCCCTCAGGTTGTTAACCAGAGGCTTCCGGTCAGTGTGGATCCTGCCCACCACTTACTCTTTTTTGCAGTCTTATTTAAAATACCTTAGAAACACCAAAGCATGTAGAATAAAGTCCAAGGGCGTAAGAGATCCTCCATTTCCCCAGCTGGGTCCTTTTCCCAGCTCCCCTCTCTACTTCCCTACAGCCTCGCATCCCCAGTAAACCCAACACACGTAGTTTCCCAATCCCGGCCCGCCCTCCCTTCTCTGCGTCTTGCAAGCCTCTCCTGGGCCCTGGAACACTGGGACACCTTCTCCCACAGACCTTTTGACAAATAACTTATCTTCTCTGCAGACTTCAGAGTTTCTCTCTCCAAGAAGTCTTCCTAGATTGCCTTCTCTGCCACACACTTACTCTAGTCTAGGTTGAGCTCATTTCCTTGGTGCTCACATCCCCTGGCCCTTACTGTTTCTAGGACTATCACCAGCTGAGAGCAGGAACTCTACATTGTAATCACTGAAGCTCTAGAGCCTTGGCCAGTGTCTGGCACATAGTAGATACTCACTCAGTCTTAATTAAATGAGTAAAGTGACCACATGAAAGTTTGTAAAGCTTTAAACATCTGAGAAAGGCCAAGTTTGTACAATATTTGGAATTCAAAGGCTTTTCTTCAAATCAGGACACAAAATTGAAACCATCTGTGCTATTTGTACATCTAGATTTCTAACATATTTCTATTAAATAATTATGACTTCAGCATATAATATAAAAACAAGTTATATTCTATTTTGCTTTACTTGGGACTCAAAGTCCTGACAACTGTCAAGTAGTATAAATTCTGGACTTCTGGACTGTGTGACATTCCATTCATATATAAGAAAACTAACAGTAGTTTGACAAATGCAATTTAATAGAAGTGAGTGCATGCCAAAAATTGATTATGAATTAGGATCTGAGCGAGATGACCTTCTCCGCACAGAAAGGAAAGCGTTACCCTCACCGAGAGAGGCTGGAGGTCAATGACATGCTAAAACCTTGGCGACATTATCAGGAGTGATAAAAAGAATCCTAATCACCACTGTACCACCCTACTGCCACTTATTTGTTTTATGGTGTGTTGCAACAGACCAAATTAAAAAAAACAAAATGGCTCAAAGGATAATTAATTACTGACCCCAACTTGAGAAAAAGATGTGCTTTGCTGCTATTCTATATAAATGCTTTTGTGATGGAGCATAATGTCAAAAGAATTACATGCCAGGGACATTAGCACTTATTATTTTAAAAGCTGAAGACAGAATGAAGTGTTATGACAGGAATAAAAAACACCAGAGGACGAGGAATGCAATCAATACCTATTAAATCTGTAATCATTTTATAAAGGACTCACCTGTGGGCAGCCCAGGTAAAATGTGCACAGAGGCTCAAATTATGCAAGTATTGATTCATGATTGGCCCTATGTCATCAGTATATGCACATTCAGTCACGCCAGACTTTTTTCAAAACGAGAGATACCCCAAAGGGACACCAAGAAGACTCTATATTTCATATTTGCATTCTCTTGCCCTCCCATGTCATTATTTAACCATTGTTCTCAACAGGAATGTGTAAACGGAGACACATGCACCAGAAAAACAAACGTTCCAACACAGACGAGGTGCAGCTCTTCAACGAAACACACTTAGGTCTGTAGCAGTAAGTCTTAGGTCCACATAACATGAAATAAGCTTGTGAGCAGTAGGTGGCGCTGTTCTCTCGGGCTGAAGTAGAACGACTCAGCCACTCATGTCATTCAAGTTAGAATTTTTAATCTTTATGTACATTTGCATGATTTCCAAAGAGTGTGGATATAATGTCTAGACACCATGCATGAAAACATCCTATGTCAAGTCATCAGTGGCTTGATCGGGAGTGCAGTCAGAAAATAAGTTAACATACGTGCCCACTTTTTCCCTCTTGAGAGATACTGACAGTTCAAATTAACTATAACCTTTGTTTTTTTCTCTTGAAAGTCTTTAAAAGTGGGATCTTTGCATATTTACTCATTTACACACAATAATTTCTTTACTCACTTCTAAAGCCAGCTTCACACTTACTGAACCAGGTAGATTTTAATTATAAATGGAAGGAAATAAAAGAAAAAACCTGATACCTGAAATCTAGGAGGACTGTTGATGCTTGTCTGATCCCTTATTCAAGTGTTTCCATTAGGGCAATTACATAGGCTTTTTATGGCTAAAATTTAAGGAGAATGGCAATATAAAAAGCATTAACTATGAGAAAATTATAAGTTTGTGATCAAGGTAGAAAATCTTAAAAATAGTAGTAGCTTTCTTCTGGAGAAGCTTAAGTAGGGAAGCTAAAAATACATTCACTTCTAGAAAAGGAACAATTATGAAATTTCAGTTCACTTCATAAAGGAAAACTTTACAGGCAAATGCAAGTTGCAGTGATGACAGGCTTTGCTTGTCCTGACCTTCCTCAGTGTAAATCCAGATTCTGAGATAGCACAAAGAGAGAGACTGGCCAGAGCTTCAGCTGTTGACAATCCTCAGACCATTGCCGTCTGCCTCACCCTCCTGCCTTGCTGCATGTCGGTTGTTGTGTTTATTTACCCTTGTGATAAAGCCATTTTCTCGTGGGAATGAAGATGTGCTCATGGACATTGTCCAATCAAGTAGAGAAAGGCTAGGACACACACACTGAGTCTTGACATTGTCACACACTCACACCATCACAGTCACATACACACACTCACACTGTTACATACTCACTCTTACACAAACACTCAACCCACGACACTCACACACACACACACAATCCTCAGCCAGGCGGGGGCAGACTCACCATCTGCAGTCACCCCCACCTCTCGGGGAGCTAACTGGCCTGGCAGCACTCAAGTGCCCACACTGTCTTCCTGTCTGCTTCTCTTGGGCTCCTTCCAGTGAAGGAGGGAAATATGAAGAGAATGTTTTAGTGTCTCTATAAAAGCTTGCTGAAACTCCTTAATCCTAAGGCCAAAAGCAGAGTCTTTCCTCACGAAAACATGAAATGTGTGTGGCTTAGCAGGGCTTTTCCTGAGCGTGTGGAGAGCACTGGCAGCTGCCCAGGCAAGCCTGTCTCCCAGCTCTTTGCTCATTTCTGTAACACATTCACGGGAAGCTCAGCGAGGATTCGTGGGAGGACAGCCGGGCCCTCAAGTCTCCCCACACTGCCGTGCTCCACACAGGACACTCGAGGCTCCTGGCTCCACGGCTCTTACGTTGCTCAGGAGAAAAATGAAAGAGCCAGATTATCAACCAACGGCCACGGAGCATGACACTTTCTGCCCAAATTTCTTCTCAGGTTCTTGGTATTCTTTGCCCATTTGAAATAATTCACCACACGATAGCTTTTAGCTCTTGCTATTTTTTGTTCCCACAACTTTTTAAACACACAAAACACTCTCCCCCCTTCAAAAACAAAACTAAACAAAGACAAGCTAAAAGACTGCATGCCCATTACATTTTACAGAAGCGGTAAGAGAGGAAATGAGCCACTCTTAGTATTCACGGAAGCCAAGGAGAAGAGGAAGAACTGCAAGCTGGCCACTGGGATGGTCTCTGGAGGAGGGTAAAAATTCCCACGGTGGCAAAGAGAACAGAGACTAAACCCACAACCAGCAGCATGCGTGCTGCACTCCCACCTCAGGGGGGTGCAGACCTGGCAGGGGTGCGAGGCTGGAGCCAAGGGTGGGGAGACCGGTCCACTGTGGCCTTGGATGGCCTCCGTCCTGCATCAGTCTAGGTAGGGCTGTGCCTCGGCCCCAGCATGAGGGGCTTGCCTTCCAGGCAAAGTTTTTTAATGTGAGTATCAGTTGGACGATCTACCTCATCATAAAGCTTCCTTTCCAGAAATTACATTGTGAAACTCCTCATGATACATGTGCCAATTTCAGTCATAGGCTCTCGACACTGGCTCACAAGAGGCCTCCAAATACTCAGACAACCCCAGGCATATGGGACACAGAAGCAAGGCTCATCAGATAAAAGAGGCTCAACCGGGGATGGAAAACCACCTGCTGAGGCTTGGCTGTTCTCAGTGCAACCCTGTCCCCAACACCTTGACACTCAGGAGGCCTTGAGCCTTCCTAGGCCCTTGACCATCTTTATGATCCACCTCCTAGTTCGGTATCAATCTTCCTTTGACAAATACTAATGTCTTTCTATATCGCTTTTCTACCCGTTTTTTCACTGTCATCATGACAAAAACAGTCATTAGACAATAAAATCTCTTGGATGTGAGGTCCATGGGGGACCCCAACATTTATCTCACAGCCCTACCCTGGGCATCAAAGTATAGCAGGTGCAGTAAGAGGTGTGCCTCCCTTTCAGCCTAAGGGGGTGTGAACTGTGTTGTAGAAGTTGAGACAGTGATAAAAGCAAGTTTGGAAGCATTGAGTGGCAAGAGCCTTCACTCTGTGGGAAGTCACATTCATTCATGGTTAAGCGGTTCACTTAAACACTTGAAGTAAGTCCTGTGTAGCAGAGAGGGGTGCTCAGGAGGTTCCAAAAAGGCTACAAGGCCCATAGGCAGTGGACATCTCTAAAGACAACCTTCGTGGGAACAGAGTCTGGGAAGGGT